CAAGAAATACAGTATATTTCGGATAATGCTTTTCGGATACCGCTTATCATAATTACGGGTTTATTGCAATTAAACTTGTATAATGTAATACCAAAAACTTGACTGTTGTAACTGAGACATTTATCAATCATTGCAAACAAACACACAGAACATTGAATATGATATAATAAATCAAAACAGTTAAAAGCACAAGCATTTTAAATTTTGATTGTTACATCTCAGTATGTTATGAATAACAAGACTTTATCGGATACTCAAGAAGAATGTGATCTAGGAGTTATTTTTGAGAAAGATCTTAAATTTAGCAAACATTTCTACTAAGATTAATAAGGCAAATAGTATTTTAGGCCTTATTAACTGGTCTTTTGAATTTTTAGATGAATACACCTTTGTGAAATTGTATACAGCTTTGATACGTCCTCATGTTGAATTTGCAAATGTTGTGTGGAATCCATATTTAATAAAAGATATATCATAATCAAGTCTAGAAAAACTTAAACAAAGAGCAACAAAACTAGTTTCATCAATCATTAACAGATCTGACATATATTGACCGTCTTAAAAAGCTTAAACTGCCAAGTCTAATACATCGCAGATTTAATATGAGGGGACATGATTCAGACTTTCAAAATAGTAAAAGGCTTAGATGACTGTGTTTTTGGTAATTTTTTTAGTTATTCGGCATCAACAAGGGGACATAATTTAAAACTAGAAATGCCTCGTAGTAGAACAACTCATTGCCTAAATCGGTTTTCAAGACGTGTAATTAAAACATGGAATAATTTGCCAAAAAATGTAGTAGACTCAAAAAGTGTTCATGAATTTAAAATAAAACTAGACCAACACTGGACCGGAGACACTCCATATAAAGTTTAAAATGTTTATTGAAAAATTATGCTGTTAAAATTATACAGCAGAGTGACCAGAAATAGATATAAGTATATATAATTAAACATAGAAGTGGTGAGAGCAATAAGAAGAAGTAGTGAAAGATTGTCAAAAGAAGAGGGGCTTAAAAAGGGCTTGGCCCTTCCATCAGAGCCCAGAATCATCCTACAGGTATCCTACAGGTATCTTGTAAATACAGGTTCCACACGTCCTTTTTCTCATTTTATTATTTACCATTTGATAAAATTTACATGTATAAGATTATGTTGCACACAAAAATATGAACTTTTACAAGTGATATCTGGAAGGGATTTAAAACAAAATTTCGACCCTGAAGTCCTGATATAAAAAATGTTGATATAAAAACTAAACACAGCACCTGTATCATGCCTCCAGCATTGATTGTTTACTGTCCATATTTTGGATGATTGCGGATTTATAAATATTGTTTTGCGCCGCTAATAAGGTGACATAATATGCATGTGTCACCTGTCACATTTTATATTGTTTACAATTCAGTCTTGGCAGTTATAGCCAGCCTGCATAGCTCATTTGGTTAGAGCACTTAACATTGTGGGTTTGATTCCCGGGCTAGCTAACTGAAATTAGTAATCAGTCATTCAGATAAGACTTTAAATTAAGGTCCCGTGCCGTTGTGCTTAAACACGAATTGGCATGTTAAAGAACAAGGAGAAGCTTCTGGAAATGGGGCATCTTTCTGTAGCTTGCACTATCCTTCAAAATATAGAATGACTAATACTCTTCTGGAGGACTCTCCCATATGGGCAACTGGTGGCGAGTATAAATAAACTCAAATACACACACATTGGCAGTGAAATCTTTTCTGCGGTCATTCGTACTGTCACCTCTGCTCTGGCATGTACAGCAGTTTCAGTTCCTTTCGAAAGTGGAGGCAACTAGTACTGGTAAACTGCTTGACAGCCTGCCCAGGAACGATACAGTAGCTGTACTGTGCTCTGGTAAATTCAGTGTGGCTTTACTGCCGTGATCCGGAGTACAAACTTCCACCACCACCACACATTGGCAGTTATAGGTTAAACAAGCAAATTAGTTGAATTTATATCCCCCGCAGAGTACTGGTTATTACTAACACAACAACTGAAGACATAAGGCTTTATTTATATATTTATCATGGCATAAACAGTAATATTCTTTGTACTTGATAAATATTCAGGGCAGTAACAGAGCCATAACTCTGTGTTAAATAGTAATAATAATATCTGGACATGCCAATGAGATGTAAATTGCCTTTGTCAAATTGTGTACCCATGGTTGCCATAAAGTTTTGTTGAAATCAATACAGCAGTTGCAACGAAAAAGCAATATTGCTCTATATGCATACTACATAACTGATCAAGGGCCATAACTCTGTAATGACGGGTCTGGTCTGAACAACTTCAACAAGGCAACAATATGCACATCTCCTCTTGGTATTAATGGTTCCCATAAAGTTTAATTGAATTCCAGCCAGTAGTTGTAGAGAAGTCGCGCGGAAACAATTATTACTCTATATGCCTACTGCATAACTAATCAAGGGCCATTATAATGAGTTAAAGTGTCTGACAGGAACAAGGCATTGATATGCGTATCTCCTCTTTGTATTGAAGGTTCCAATAAAGTTTGCTCTATATGCATACTGCAGTATAAAGTAGGCATACAGCATAATTATGGGTAATATTCATAAGCACAATTTTGGTTCCTTGTCCTATAATATTTAGAGCACATCAGGAATCAGTACTAGCAGGTAACCTGCATAGGTAGCAACTAATTTCATATTTTGGGGAAGTCAAAGCCCTGAGGACCACGAAGCAGGCTTGATTTTGCTTGCCCGGCTTTAGACTACACATGTATATTTAAAAAGAAATCGAATAAAAAACAAAAATATAAAGAATTCTATACCTATCAATGAAATTTTCAGTGTCAGTTCTTAGTAAATGGGCGCCACCATTTTCAATGTAATTCAATGATAATAGGCCAGGTGTTCTGATAACTGACTACACAACTTTTCAAATTAATTATCGTGTGGTCCGAGTGAAAACGGAAGCAATGCATGAAATACCAAATGACACCATTAAAATGGAAAAATAGAAGATTTTTTTAACCAACTGCCACATTCATAGGCTTTGCCTAATTTCATATTAATGTCACGGTTCAGAATTGTTCACTTATTAGGGGAGAAGATTTGTCAATATATATTGACATGCCAAAGCTTGATTCTGAGATATTTTTTGTTCTGGGGCAGAATCTTGTAGAGGCGAGATATTGACCAGACACGAAAATAGCACAATATCTTGTCTCGCAGTACAATTGGTTGGACTAGGGAGAAGATGTGTAAGCAGCTGGATAGCTCAGTCGGTAGAACGGTATTCCAAAGGTCCCGGGTTCTAATTAGGCCACACATTTTTCTCACCCTGTGACATTTGGCGCCAAATGTTGGGCCGTGACTGGATATAGCTCAGTTTAATTTACATTGCTCTGTAACTCTGTGAAACTCCAGGAGGAATTTCAATATAGCAGGGGAGTATGTCAAGGTTCAGAACTGTTCACTTATTAGGGGAGAAGATGTGTAAGTGGCCGGATAGCTCAGTCGGTAGAGCCGCGGAAAGATATTCCGAAGGTCCCGGGTTTGTGTCCCCCTCAGGCTGCACCATTTTCATTTATGATATTACCAACAGAATCTTGGTCCAAGACAAAAAATAAATCATAAACCATAATGAGATGTTTTCAAACGTCATGATTTACCTTCTTTTTCTTTATAATATTAACATTTTTTGTTCCTGCCAATCCTGGCCACATGCGCAGTGAATAAAGCATGACCATCAGCTTTCTCACTCTCTTTTTTATCTTCCCATTTCTCGTCTCTTTCTGTCCATTTCTCAAATATTCCGACACCGGCTGCATACATGTGCAGGCTGTATTTAATTTTTCCTTTTAAAGAAGCTTTAAAGTTTAAACTGGACATTTAACAACGTGGTGCAGTCGCTTAACTTATCAGTGTCATTGGGCGATTAATACAGTGTACTGTAAGCGTCGGCGCGATTGAGACTAAATAAAAGTTTAAACCGAGACGGTATAATTTTTTTATAAATAGAATGTAAAAATATGCTATAAATCATGTTTTAAAAAGTTCTAGTTCATGTCTCAATAATAAGATAAGTCCATAAGCGAGATACTGTTGGAAGTGTGCTGTACAGTGCACTGCTACTTATAATAAAATAGAGCCTACATCTGATATAATTTATGAGCTCAATAATAAATGTACGAAGTAACGAACAGCCGATTATTTTTTCGATCCATAACCCCTTTGCTGTTTCTTGAAAAGACATTCATGAAGAGCGGTGAAACTATTTCAAAAAAGAAAAAGAATGAAAGCAAACTATAATTGATCCCACTGTTACGCCTTTATTTTTATTAGTCCGTCATGTAAACTTTACTTCTGTAAGTAACATTGTCTTTTGTTAGCGCTAGTAGCACTAACAGAAACATACTGTAGTATGAAAAGGCGTCTTTTGTTAGTGCTAGTAGCAGCCTAATAAGTCTAATAAAAATGTGCTAGTAGCAGCTAACAAAACAGGATCGGGTGCCTGCTAATGCCATGCGTCATTATGCATTCAAGTTAAGCTGAATTGGGTGCAGTTGTGGAACGCGAGGATCTGTAGTTATTACGTCGGAGATATATTTAGATATATTTATACGTCAAGGAATATCCTATATGGATATTTTTAGATTGTTAAATTTCCTAATTTTTTATCAAATTCGTTTTATTTTTCTCTAAGTGGGAACTATTTATTACAAAGGATAATTTACAATTGAATACTTTTAAATACAGAAACAAAAGAAGCAAGTAAGTGCAGTTGTTTATTGCTTTTCATACCTTGCAATTATATATGGTAGATACATCAACAGTCATTTTTGAACTTAAAAGTGTAAGAAATAATTTTTTTAACCTCATAGAAATATTATGTTCTTTTGTTTTTGCAAAAAGATAACTATCTAAAATCATCTTTCTAATCATACAGTCATATCATTTGCAACACTTATATCAAGGGAAACAACTGCATAAATATAGGATGTAAACTATAGAACAAGGTTGCTTCCCTTTATCGCGTCGGTAAATCACATAGGTATTTCTAAAGGCCAGACCTATTATATTTTAATTCAAATGTTGCCAAAAAAATCGACGATTAAGTGTTTTTCTATGTTTTGGTGTATTATCGTGTAGTCGTGCAAACACGAACAATAAGAACAGGTTCAAAGATTTTAAAAATATGAGTATTAAAAATAAAACTTTAGATCTAAATTATTGGAATTAAACATGAAATGCGTGTGTATGATTATTGCACATAAAACCAACATTTTTATGATGTGTTCGCGCTTTCGGATTTTCCAATGGGAATATTCATTAAAAAGTCCCACCATGCTAGAATTGTGTGTGATGTAAAAGTGAATATTCATAGGTATATTCATTAATACCTTTTTGTAATTTTTGCAGCGAAATTATTATAAAAAAAATCAGAGACTTAGACAAGATTGCAGAAATATTATCACATAGTTTTATGTTTAAAGATGAAACTAATCAGGCATTGTGGATCAATTATCAGAGACATGATTAAGGTCTACGTTAGTCTTTTGCCAACACAACGGTACCCTCTTCACATTTTCCTACTAATGATCTTCGCAATATCTGTGTCAAGTCAACCCCTTTATCTTCCTGCCGAGACATTTAAATGCGGACCTGATGTATTGAACTTGTCTTGTGAAAGATGGGGATATGATGCATGTATCACTGATGGCGGGGACAGTTACTGTATGCCATGTAATGTGGAATATCTGGCATCTCTGTGCGGGACGCCAGAAGAAATAACGGGATGCAATCTTTACTGCACACGTAAGACTTTTTTTTGATAGCATCTTCTCATAGAATTTATTAATAAAATTTATAGCAATTTTATCACTACACATGTATTTATATGCGGCCTGCAAATATGGGTATACGATTATTTTTTTTCAAATTATGCTCAAATTAGGTATATGAAAATACTGACCGTTACTATCGTACGGGTCTTTTTTAATGTAAAATAAACATATTTTGTGAGTGCAAACAGAGGTATGATACGCTTTATACCCTGCACACTATAGGTACAGCACGAGTACATACAGACAGTTATTCAGAAAATAACAAATAAAAACAATTATTTTGAAATCGATATTAAAACAGTTCCAACTTAAGTTATTTGAATATGCAATACAGCTTTATTCACAATCAATTTTGTATGTTGATATTATGGTTATTCTTCCCGACAGATTATGATTCAGATAAATTTTTGATTTCACTATTGAAATTGATATTACAGAGATGGTAGTAGACGAAGAAGTGAAAAGAGCAAAGGTCAACTTTACCGAACAACTAGAATATATCGCACAACAAAGATATTCATCAAATATACATGGTAAAACTCAATTCATAATTCTTATGGATTATTAAATAATCAATAGATATCATATTACTTTATATATGGCTTTGCCTAACTTATATATTTCATACGTTCTTAGTAACTTTTTTACATATGCGTTGATAACTTACAAATCTTTAAACAAAAGCTCTAATGTACTGTTTTCTAACTTTTATTATTTCAGAGAACAAAGCGCTTGTACAAAGACTGTATGCATTGAATCAATCCCTTCGAAACAAGGACATAGCAATAATCGCTATTTCGGTAGCACTAGGCATTGTCATCGTTATTCTAATAATAGTATTATCATGTTATATTGGCAAGAAACATAATAGAAGGACAATAATATATGACGAGGAAAGTCCCGAAGGAGATGATAGGTAAGAACAAATTTAGTTTGATGACCTTGAAATTAAAAAGAAATATCAATATAACGGAATTCGAACCAACTAACGTTTGCTACAGACGTTTCAGAAACATCTAACAATTCTACGAATTCATCTTATGAAATTTAAATGGTTCTAAACATCATTTGTATAAAGATTTGCAGTCAGTCAGATCTATATGGGGTACTGTAAAGAATTTCATAAATATATTGTTCGTTATTAAATGTTCTATTGACACAGCCATTTATCCTGCAATGCAATTACAATATGGTATCTTATATATATATATATATATATATATATTTCTAAGTTTTACAGTAAAAAGAATGATATGATAAAACCACTATCTTGACATTTTAAAGGGGAGGAGGGTTGAATTGTGCTTGTGCGTGTCCATTTTAAAAACAAAATTTTTCATTGCAGATCACTTCTGAAAAACGATGTCTCTGATAATTCAACAAATTTATCTGAACAAACAGAACTAAAGGAATTTGATGTTAAATCAGATAGTACAGAGGATTTACACGAGAGATATAATGTAAACCAAAGAGTAACTACAACTGAGGATGACACTGATCAACAAAGTGCAACTACATCAGAGGGCGACATTCAGCAGAAAGATGGTGCATCAAGTGATGGAGGATCAAGTAATATAGGATTGAGTGGCACTAGTCAAGCTCAGGGGATGGAACATTCACCAGGCAGACACCTATCAAACATACCTGCTACAAATACAAAAGGGTGTAATAAAATAGCAATTAAGAGAAATGATGTAAGTCATCAACATGCATAAATGTGAATTTCTTAAAGAGATGAGCGCTAAATGAACTATTAAATATAAACATTAAGAAACAATCTAAATCGGGATATAATGATTATAAGACTGTTTCAAATTGAACAACGTTGGTAAATTGGCCGTAAAGAGAACAATTACTAAATAACTAATTATAACTAATAACGGTTATTTTAACTGAACCTTTTATAAGTGATTAAATCTTAGGTCTGATAATATTTCAAAATGATTTTCCCTATAAATGTCCATAATTATGTTGACTTACCTGAATTATTCACGGAATTTCCATTCATATTTCCTCATGATTTTCTTTTTCAACACGACATTTTGGAAATTTTAGGGTACATTTACATGTAAAATGTCACGTATACCTGGATATGATTTAAATCATTGTTTTTTAGTGCACATCACGTGAATAATATCCACTGTTCAATTATAAATATATTAAACTTGCACATATTGATAATCCGAGCAAAATATAGGTTAAAAATCATATCATATTTCAGCTATAAAGAGCTATTCATGTGTGCAAACGTTTGTAATCTTGGCCTTGAGAGATAGTAGTGTGCAAATATATATAGTTCAAGGTTAAATTTGCAAAACTTGCGTGAAATAGATATCTTTATTATTATAAATGTTTATGAAACTTTTTTTAAAATATATAATATTTGAAATGCTGGAAGTTGAAATATGGGTAAAACAAGTAAACATAATACCTTATATGGTTAAATGTCATGATTTCAATAGTCTGTTTATATCTAAATATTTTTTTTAGATTATTTATATATACGATAAATTTGTTTCCAATATAAGGTTTGTAATAATGAAAAACGTGTTAATAGTGTTAAGTATCAAACATAACGACACACCATTAAAGAATGATACATAGATGTGACATACATGATCTAATATTTCATATATTTTATTTAGCAAATAATAAAAATGTTCATGAACAAAATATTATTATTAATCATGTAAATGTACATACTAAATCTCTTTCAACTTGATCAACATTCTTTTCATGCAATATTTTATAAAAGAAATCCACAAGATAATTTCTTTTGTTACGTTTTTATCAATTTTTGAACTATTAAAGGAACTTCACTGAGGTTTATAAGCCTAAAACATACCATTTTAATTTTTTCACATAGAACAACATGAGCACTTTAAACAGAAATATTAATAAAATATAACTAAGAAATACACAAGAAATACATTGAAAGTCATATGTTTGTGCTTTCCTCAGTCCGATTTGAGAGAAAAGCGTTTAAGCGCTTTTCAATTTTGGGTCATTTTTCACTTTTATAATAATAATTGTAGGAAATCGGAGCGAGCTAATGATCTGAAATTTTGCACATAAGTTATTAGTATAGATCTACATGAAATAGAGTTATAATCTCAAAAAATTATTTCCAGTCCCGTCATATCAAAAAACCTCAGTGAAAAAGCCTAAAGTGAAAAAGTGAATATCGAATACTAAAGATCTGTTTGAATTAGTGTAGCAGGAATGGTTCTACATTCAGAGGGTGTTCAGATGCGTTCTTTTAAATTAGCTATTTATCTTATTTTAAGTTATCTGTACCTATTTCATTTTATGACCAGAAATTGCTTTTTTTTATTTTCGACCATTAAAACATTTTTTGTGTGTATCGTATTTGTAAAGACGAAGTGACGAAGTGCATTTTAGCACTTTGTTGATTTAATTTATTTACGTCTCTCAACTTCAGTTCAATAGCATGATAATATAATATCAGCTTAGATAACTTAATTTTGAGCTGTCAAGTTTCTTACTGATAATTTGAGTTTTGTTTCTTGTTGTTTCTTTTACGAAACATTTTGAAGCAAAGTAGTAAATTAGCCTACTCTTTACTATATTAAATATCGTTCCTGCCAAATGCTTTGTATACTTTCTGGTATGGCATTTATTCCTGAATACATTTTTGTTAAAATGATTTGATGTCAGTACAAAACTAACCATCTATTAGTTGACAAGGGATTACAAATGGTATGCCATAAACATGTTGTTAACGAGATCACCTTTAAAAAAATAGGCCAATTTTATCTAAGCTTAGAGATTTAATAGTTCTGTTTTGTTCTTGGCATTTTATTTCATGATGTTATCTATATAATTATGTACTGAGCGGATTAAATGATCGGCTGATAAAGAGCTTAATCTTTTTCATCTAATATACTGATGATTGAACTTTATAGTGATGTTTTATGTGAGAAAAACGAGTTGTTTTCATATTGTCCAGTTACAAAAAGCTTTGTCTAAAGCTCTAAATTTTAAGACAGAAGCTACGTTCATGTATTTATCTGTTTGTTATTGTTCCCACTATATCTTTAAGAAGTGTTTAATATCTTACATGTAACACGACGGAGGATATATTTCTTTAAGATGTGCTTAGAATAAGATCATAACACGACGTTTAAAAAACTGTATTTCTTATTAACAATGCACTACGTTCACCTATATATAAAGTTGTTTTCGTATTATTATCATTATTATTATATTTTTTAATTAAAAGAGAAAATCGAATCAGCACAAATCAGTACATGAAACTCTTTTTAAGCAGTTTAATATAATACCAACTCTCCACATCTTGTTTTTATCAAGATATAAATAATTTTATTCTGTAACATTCGACTTCTTTTAAAGTGTCTTTCTTATAAATGTACTTACATTTATATAGAATACAAATCCATAATAAAAGCGTCTTCTCTACATAGAAGGTTTATGTAATTATGGATATAGGGAATTTAATTGGGTAAATTTATTCAGCTTAATTTACGAATACGAAACTACGTGAATTTTTACATTTTAACCTGACCAGACCAATTATAACAATTATAAAAATAGTTAACGCTTAACCCTGATCCGAATCTTTTAAGATATTAATCAATGTTTAGAGTAGTTTAGTAACTAGCTATTTATAGAAGAATAAGTTCATTTGATTACTCCCTAATTAAGTGCTTGTAATAGTAAAAATTTGCAATCATAGAAGAATAACATGGGTAAATACTAAAGCTTTAAATAGCATATTATTGTTTTGAATGGATACTTGTTAAATGATTCCCAATCGTCATACTTTGTCGTAGTTATCCTGTTTTTCCACAAATTACAATTCTTTAGTATACATCTTACAACATACATGTATGCAACTTTCTAATGAACTACAAGTACCACATGTTATTAGATAATAATTATTACATGTATTTTTATAATTCGCATGAACACATTATAGAACTGTTAGAATTTATGTTGTTTTTGTATGTTGTTGAGAATTTTCCCTCTGATTCCATGTTTGCCTTACCAAGGGCAATCTAAGGTAATGAAATATCTTTTGATTGAACTATTGTTACTACCCTCAGTTTTTTTTGCAATGTTAATTTATAAACGCCAATTGGATTTATTGTTTTCGTTAATTCAAGTATACTATGTGATTAACAATTGTGTACTGTTACATACTAGGTACCAGTACTTTTTTCACAGAATAAAAGCCAATAGAAACAGTATCAAAATTAAGTATTTTTTCTGGGTAACACATTGGATAATAACATGTGCCTCGGAATGAAATATTTTAATGTAACTCACAAACATATGTGTTTTATTTTAATACATCCGTTCATACTTTTTATATGTAGGAATATAACAAATATATGTATACAATGGACGTCTTTCAGTTACATTAGTTTTTCTCCATGCTCGCCATTATATATAATGACTTGTCATTAAACATAATGGCTTGAAATTATACTTAATGGCTCGTTATTAGACATAATAGCCCTTGGTTTGATATAATGGCTCGTCAGCAGAAATAATGCCTCGTCGTTAGATATGGCTTGCTATTAGACATAATGGTTCGTCGAAAGACATAATGGCTCGTCATAAGACATAATGGGCATCTTGATTTAAAAATTATTAAATTGTTACAATTTGTATTCGAGTTATAAAAATCTTGAAAGTATTACGTACTAAGTAGATATTAATAAATTAATTTATGGTATCACTAAATAAGGCGAATTGTTGGTAATAAATGTTTACCTACTGTATTTTATATCCATTGTACGTGTATATGAAACAAAACAGGGTAGTTATGTTCTTACTGGTCTAAACTCGCGAATCATATTTTTGTTATCTTACATAAAACCAAAAACGGTAGCATTTAAATTCCTCATTCATTTACACATTTGTAAATAACTGGCGGCGTACAGAAAATGACTACTTATATAGGGTAAACGCACGTTTTTCCATGTTATAATGTCTGCAGAGTCCCGAGGAACGATTTGTGCCCGACCCTGGTAGGCCGAGGGCTCCAACAGTTCTGAGGGACTCTGCAGACTTATAACACGAAATAACTGTGCTTAGACGCTATTATAGCATAAAAATTTAAAACATATTTATGATGTATATTTAATAAAAAATCACATTCAATAAATCCTTGTACTTGGACGGAATTTATCCAATTCTACTCGTTTTATCTATGCGTTTTATTTTTCCGGGGCCAACAACTTGGGAAATACAAATGCACAGAACCGTACGAAATTTCGAATTTTAATTCATTTTTCAAAGCTTAACATTGGATATTTATTAAATCAAGAAATAAAAAATAAATTAATCTACACAAGTGTCTCAGCTCAAACCAAACAATGGGGCCGTTGACTCTGCTGTGAGTTCTGGACCTGGGGTAGAGGGGTCTGTAAAAGACAAGTATGCGCTTCTCAAAATATTTTTCCTCACTACAACACAACCGTGGCTTGCGCCAACAATTTCTCAATACAAGTGCGCAAGCGTTGTGCAGATAGCGGGTAAATTGAAATATTAGCGAGAAAAGTTAATCGAATAGATTGAAAAGGTTATCAAGTACTATTATATATAGGTAACGGCTATTGGATATGAGATATGAGTATATGAATTAAAGAAATAACTACGGAAAACAATAAAGAACATGGACATTAACATATAAATATACAGAGGCAAACATGGACAAATATACGGGACTTAGCAATGCGGACATTGTATACTTGACCCTATGACACAAGACCCTCGGAAACTCCTAGAATGATTTCAGATTGACGGTAGAAATCAGTGACATCAAAATCGTTTTGTTTTCTTCAAGCGCATAAGTTTATAAAAAATTATCAGGCACTAAACATTATTCTCTCACAGAAATATAAAGAGCATTTATTAATAGACCTTTCTATCATAAACGGACCTCGTAAACGGACTTCGTAATACGGAATAAACTGGTGGATTTTCTCAAAACACATATGATAAAAAAATCAATAAAACTGTAATACATCGGTTTTTACATGTATATGCTAGTTAAAGTATTTCTATCAACCATCAACAAATTAAGATGGAGACAATATAACCATAATTTATATAAAGACCAATAAATAAAAAACAAACAAACAAACGAACATTTATTTATATACCCTATTGTAGTGATAATTTTTCAACCAATGACAAAGAAGCTATGTTTTCAAGATAAACTTGTAAGTGTTGGAACATGGTGTGGAAACAGGACTAAACGTAAATGTCATCATATGTGAAATATGAAGTAATGCCTCAGTGGGCATCGCATGAAATCTGGAGTATTAGAAAACAAAAAAGAATTATACACAGATCGCCATCTCAATTCCAATAACTTATGTGTTGACAGTGTGGAAGTGACAGTATCAAGAATATAATTATTCGTGTGGCTTATCCATTGGTCGTAATATTTCGTGTGATGTTCAATCTATTGCACCAACTGCACCAACAGTTTACCCCAGCCGACACGTTTACTAGACCATTGATCTATGGTTGGCCGAGTGATGTAATTCTCAAATATTATGTAGAATGCACGAATAAATGTGCGAATTTCAACTTACATGCGCAATGCACACATTGAATAAGGTAGCAAGTGTTACAATTAAGGGTTGGATAACAACGTAATCATATCACAAACAATAAAATTAAATTTACAGGAGACAGTTTTTGGTGACTGTAATTTTTAAGTTTATGATATGTAACATATATATGTGTCTGATGCTTGACAAGTAAGTTTATAGAAATTATACATATCAATGTATAATTGTAACGCTTCGTGCAATTTCACACTGAAGTGTAACTACATTTCATACATACTTTAGTAACAGAGATATTTATAGCAATATTCATACGACGATGTTTTTGTTTGTTTTGTTGTTGTTGTTGTTTTTTTTGGGGGGAGGGGGGGGCAGGGGTAATAGAGTTACGCGGTACGCATATGATCTACGTCAGAAAGAATTACAGGTTGACAACAATAACAATTAGAAAGCAATTCAAGACCAAATTAAGCATCCAGTGCCGGCTGTTACTTTAGCCTTGCTTTCACACACTCTAAACTTGATGGCACGATGGCCTTTGGTTGAATTAACACTACAATAAAGTCTTTGAACTAAGTAAGTAACTTGTATTGTTGTTGTTGTTTTATGTTTATCTTTATATTAATTATGGTTATAGTGTCCCCATCTTTAATAGGTTGATATGTTGAAATCGTTCCATCACAGTTTTAGCGTACTGCTCATTTTATCTTATTTCCCCGCATTTATGTTTTGAGAAAAACCCAAATTTATTCCGTTTTAAGAAGAACGTTTACGAAGTCCACCGGGACATTGTCATTGTCGTTACTTCGACTTTCGCGTTTAGGGGCAAAATCACGACAACACGAAAATCTGCCGTATTTTCGTTATTGCGATCCTTGGGTTTCGAGTCGAAGACACGACAAACAAAGGCGCGGACACGAAAGATTTTGCCCCGGCGACACAAAAACTTAAACGATGAAATTTTCGTCCCATCGCGTGATCAAATTTCGTTATTTCGCCTAGAATGTTTCGTCGCCCCGAAAGGCAAAAGTCGAAATAACGACAAATAGGTATGTTTTTGTGTCTTCGCCTTTCGACTTTAGGGGCAAAGACACGAAAACACGAAATGGCAGAAATCAGCCACCATATTTTATTTACATAGTTCGAGCAAAACGTGGTTTAAAGCGAGATATTGGCCCAGCTGCATTCATATTTGAACATCCCTTGGATTTATGAAGACTTATTTTTTATGAAATACGAGAGGATTATAGAGTGTGGCTGATTTGTGCTACTTGTGTTTTCGTCCGGCAACCCCGCTAAGCGAAAATATGTT